TTTGGGAATCCCACTGCAGGAGGTGGGAAACGCCACCACCACCACCCCACATCCCTGAGTGCTCTCTGCTCCCTGGAATGTCCATGGAATGACATCCCATGGACACGGGGAGAAGGGATCACCCCCACACACATCCCAAAGGCTCCAGCTCCCACATTCCTGCTGCTCTCCTGCAGCAGCTCCAGCACACACACACACACACACACACACACACACACACACACACACACACACACACACACAAAAATGAGATTTTTAATGGCCAGGAGACCCTGCCCAGCCCTGCTCCAGCCTCCTCCCACCTCCTGGATTTGTGCTGGATGCTCTCAAGGCACCCTTTGTTGCAGGAGCTCCAGCTTCTCTCCCTCACCCACCAGCTGCCACAGCAGAGGAGGATTTCCAGCCACAAACATTCCCTTTCTGTTTTCCAAAGGGCTTCCTCCCACCACGAAAGCTCATTTTGAAACGATTTTTTTCCCTTTGTAAAGCAATGCAAGCAGGCACTGCCAACAGGAAAGCCCAGCACGCAGCATTCCTGCAGGACAGAAATGTTTTGTGCCCCCATCGGGAGTGGGATGGTAAAAGATCATTCCTGCCATCAAAATGAGGCTGCTCAACCTCTGTAAATTCATCCCTAAATCCAAACACCTTCTGTTCTAACAGATCTCTGCACCTGGATGCCAAATGTCATGGAGAACACCCAACCCTCAGGTAAACCAGGGGTTAAATCTGCCACAGCCTCACAGAGCCTCCACATTTCCAACAGCTGTCCCAAATTATTCTTTTTCCTGCTATTTTCAAGGTGATTTCTGCTGATTTCGCATCAGAGGGTGGAGGGAGTTCAGGCTGAGTCCCGGGTGTCATCAGCAGAAGGGACAAATGGCAAAGAAAAAAGCGGGCAGGAGCTCAGGAAAACCAGCTGGAGAACCCAGGAGAAGTGAGAAAAGAATCAACTCCGGGCTCTTTCCTTGTGCCAGCACCGGAGGATTTGCAGAGTGAGGACTGGGAGTGTGAAACAAAAATAAAAAAAGGGGTTAGAAAGTGCAGAAAGTGCCACACTGGCTCAGCCTGGTGAGGACAGCCCCGGTGTGAGGCTCAGGCTGCATTTTGGGGATTTCTCTGCTTATTGAGAACAGCAGCAGAGTTTAAAAAATCCACGAATTTAGGTCCAGATTGAACCCGCTTAATTCCATTTAAAGTGAGCTGCTTCACACTAAATTCCTAAATTCTTCCCCTGCTCATTCCTACCACAGCCAGGGAAAGGATCGGGATGGATTCCCCTGGGAAACACCTCCTCCCTCCCTCCCTCCCTCCCTCCCAGCCCGTGCTCCTCAGCAATTATGGCAGCTTCGATTCCTCATTTCGCCTTTGTGGTGCTGGCAGCCAGAGCTTGGCAGCAGCAGGAACAGAGAAATGATCCCAGGAAGAGGGAAATGATCCCAGGAGCAGGGAAATGATCCCAGGAGCAGGGAAATGATCCCAGGAGCAGGGAGATGCCAGGAACAGGGAGGTGATTCCAAGAGCAGGGAGATCCCAGGAGCAGGGAAATAATTATTCCAGGAGCAGGGAAATGATTCCAGGAGCAGGGAAATTATCCCAGAAGCAGGGAAATTATTCCAGGAGCAAGAAAGTGATTCCAGGAGCAGGGAGATCCCAGGAATAGAGAGGGAGATCCCAGGATCAGGGAGATCCCAGGAGCAAATTCCAGCCTCGCTGGTCCAACATGGGGCTGGAATCGTGTCCCCAGGCAGAGCCAGGCACGGGAAATGACTTTAGCAGGCTGGATTTCTCCTGCTGCTGTTGGCTTTCCCCGATTCCCATCCCTGGATGTTTAATGTATTCCGAGGGAGGCGCGGAGACAGCGAGGGAGAGCCAGACAGATTTATAATGTGCCAAAAAAAAAAAAAAAAAGGTCATTTGGCAGAGGTTTGGGTGCCGCGGTGCCAGGGCTGGGAATGTCTGCCTGGATTTCGGGAGCACACCCAGCCTGGGAGGAGCTGGGATTGGGAAGCACAGCCCAAACATCAGCTCCATGCTCTTCCCATCCTCCTCCTCCTCCTCCTCCTCGCTCTGCTTCCCAGTCTCAGCTGCAGTGGGTACGGGGGGTGTGGGATGAAGGAAAGCGATTTTCCATAGGACACACACACACACACACAGAAGGGTGGATCTGGGATATTTGGGAGCTCCTGCAGCAGGGCAGAGTCAGGGCAATGCCAGCACCTGGGAATGGGAGCTCCTGATTCCCTTGGGAGCAGCTCAGGGCACTTGGAAACCCCAGCCCGGAGCAGGATGCTCTTTATAAAACCCTTGTTTTGTGGCATCTAGACTTAGCAAAACACTGATCTCACCTTCCAGCAAAAGATTCAACTCACAGCTGCCTCCTAAAGAGCATCCAAACCAGAAATCCAGGAAAATCCCTGGAAATCCAAGAAAATCCTCCAAAGCCTGCCTGGGGCAGAACCAGTGTCCCACGTTGGCAGCCCTGAGGTCACTTCCATGTGGTCAGGGCTCGCTGGCAGCCAAAACCTCACCCCAAAACCTCACCCCAAAACCTTATCCTAAAACCTCATCCCAAAACCTCATCCTAAAACCTTATCCTAAAACCTCACCCAAAACCTCACCCCAAAACCTTATCCTAAAACCTCACCCAAAACCTCATCCTAAAACCTTATCCTAAAACCTCATCCCAAAACCTCACCCCAAAACCTCATCCCAAAACCTCACCCCAAAACCTCATCCCAAAACCTCATCCTAAAACCTCATCCTAAAACCTTATCCTAAAACCTCACCCCAAAACCTCATCCCAACACCCCATCCCTGCTCCTAAAGCCCTACAACACCTGGGCTTTTTTCCCCTCTGCACATAAAGCCTTTGCACCGCTGCTCATCCCGGGCTGGGGATTAAGGGCAGGGATTGGGAATTAAAGACACAGGGGCACAAAGCAGGGATCGATTTTTTAAAAAAATTTTTTTTTTTCATTTTCAAGGATCTCGCCTGGTTTTGGGGTTGTCAGGAGCTCCGAGGTGCAGCATCAGTGGGGCTTGAACAATGCCCTGATGGGGTGACAAGGAGTGAGCATTTCATTTTCTAATTAAGAGGAAACCCCAGCAGGGTAATTAGCTGCTGGGTCATTACAGCTCCGTGTGACACAGCCTGGGAGCCCCAACACCCCTCCAGTTTCTGCTGCTTTCCTGGAAACTGCAAATATTAGCCACAAAAAAAAAAAAAAAATCACCAAAAATGTACCACTGCTAATGAAATACATTTCTGCTCGTTTTGGTCTCTCAGGACAGCCCTTTGTCAGGATGATGAGCCAGATCCCTGGGAGATGTGCTCCTAATCCTATTTGGCCACTCAATCCTTTATTTCCTTGTGCCTTTTTTTCCCCTCCTGTGACCACACTCCTCTTCTTCCCTGACCTATCCCTTTTTTTTTTGTATTGGGAATTAATTTTATTGGATTTTTAAAAATTATTTCTATTTTACTGGATTAATTCCCACTACAGCTCCATTGCAACCAAATCTCTCCTGGGACCAGGAGCCAGCACCTGGATACAAATCCTGACTCTCCCAGATTGCTGCTTCGTTTCTTTTTCTCGCTTCCTTAAGCAAAAATAATAAATATATAATGCCCAACACAAGGAAAACAAGCAGAAAACAAGCAGCCCTTTCTATTCCCATCAGCCTCATCCACAGGTTTGACACCAGATGGGAAAGCTTTGCTGAGGAGCTGCATGAGGAGGGAATTTGGGTTATTTTTTTCCCTATTTTTAACCAAAAAAAATTCCTTCTGTGTAAACTGCAAGCCGCGGTGTGCACGGTGACACGTGCCTGTACGTTAATTAGCAGCTAATTAGGAGCTCTTGGAGCAGTTTGGGATGTTTGGAGGATGGATGGCTGAGGTTTTGCAGAGCACTCCTCCTCCCTGAAGGGCCGCTCTCCTCTGCAGCAGGGGAAGGAAGATGGAAACAGAGGAAAAAGCCTCTGGGGGAAGCACAAATGGGGGAAATGAGACTGGAGGGGATGGAGGATCCTGGAGGTTGGGACTGCACCTCCAAATGTGGCCGTGGAAAGGGGTTTTAACCCTTTAAATGCAGCAGAAATAAGATGCACAGCTACATGGTTGTCTTTCATGACAGGAAAGAAAGAGACAAATTTATTCAGAAACAAACTTGGTTTTAAATGTGGACACACACATTTAGAGAGCTGGGGAATTCCAGCTTGGAAATTCTTTTTCAGGCCTGGATTTCTCCTGACTCTCAGCTCCATTCCCAGGCTGACAAGCTGACTGCAGCTTCAGTTAGGGAGGAGTCTCCAGGGTGAGAACATGGTGACAAACAGAGTGGAATTCATCACCAACATTAACCCCGGGTGTCTTTCCCGTGGGACACATCCTGAGGTGCTGTCCCAAGGATGTTTTTCCCAATTGTCCAATGAGCTCCTGTCCTGTCCTGGCTGCACTGACACACTTTAAACCCGGGCTGTCTGTACAATAAATTGGCCTTTTTGCCCCACAGAGCTCCGTGTGTGTTGCTGCCCTTTCTCTCTCTCTCTTTGTTTGACCACATTTATAGCATGACTGCAACTCCCAGAGTAGAGAAAAGGTGATTGGTTCAGAGAGAAGACACCCCATTGCCAGGGCCTGGGCACACACCACAACAGGGCTTCTATCTTTGTTATTAATTCTTTTTTTTTGACCAAATTATCACCCTGGGAGAAATTCTCCCCAGCCTTGAGCTGGGGCAGCTGATGGGCTGGGAACAGAGCTGAGAAGCTCCAGCCTGGAATATTTTTCAGGCTGTAATTTTCTGACTTTCTCCATCTGTGTCCCCACAGGGACAATCTGGGAGGTCGGGACAGCCCAGCTCCCTCCCAGCTCTCTGCCCTTCATCCCTCTGGATTTGCCAAAACCACCGTGGCCAACCCCTGCTGCCACTGTCCCCAGCGCCGTGGTGGCCCTGAGGGGTGGCAGGGCCAGCTTGGGGACAGCAGGGACTCACCAGGACTGAGGCTTCCTCTTCATGATGCCCTGGCGTCTCCACTGCGAGTGGGGGCTCAGGTGATAGGTGAGCTGCCTGCACAGCTTCTCCATGGCGCCCAGAGAGTCTCCTTCCTGCAGAAATACACCAGGGGTGAGGCTGGGCACAGCACACACAGGGCATGAGCCCAGACACACTGGGAGCCTCAAGGGACCACCCTCAAAAGTGTCCAGAAAGGGGGGAAAAACCTCTCTGATTGCTAAGATTCTGCAGGACTATTATTATTATTATTATTATTATTATTATTATTATTATT